CTCATTTTAAACACAACAGCCACTTAACGAGCATACAAGCTGCCTCTTCAAGTAGCATTTCTGTGACTATCCTTAAAAAAATCTCCGTCCCTGAAAGAGTGGTGGGGTGAATGCCAAACGATCTCACCAGGCGTCAGCCGCAGGCAGACGCATGGAGGTTTCACATGTGGAGTTTAACATGTGGAGTCGGACAACAACAAGCAGGGACAGTGTCGGGCTCAAAATCATCAAGTAAGAGAGAGGTGAGGTAGAATGCTTGACAGAAGTGGTGTTTACTAAACGCAGATGTTTAATAACCTGTTAAAATACACCAAAATGCAGGAAATCACATTTACTTTATTCAAAATTTTCTGGGGGAGGACCCCCAGATCCCCCCCCCCCCCATGATTGACTTGCATTAGACTGGCTGTAGGTAAACAAATATGGTGGAATGGGATATGGGTGTAGAATCTCAGCGATGATGTTTGGATGGAATTATAAGAGTGAATCTGTAACTAAACGTAACGAAAAAGAAACGGAGAGTGAGACGACGGTCAAAGATGAATATCAGGGATCAAACGGCGGCTGAGCGCCATAAAGACAGAGCTCCGCGTTCAAACTCGACGCCGCTTTTGCAAAACTTCCTTTAGACATTCAAGTTTACTGTTTCGTCAAAACACGTTCTTTTACTTGCAAACTTTACTCCAGAAATCTGAGCACAAGTTGCGTATATACCAAAACATCAAGGTCCTTGGACTCCTCCGTGGACGCCGCTGATGTTGGCCTGTTTTCAACTTTTCAGTTGTTTCCAAACGCACATGGTAGTTGGCACAAATTTTACTCATAGTTTTATTGACGGATGCACTAACCATTGATATGTAAAAAAAACTGCGCTGGTTTTGTTTTTTACTTTATGAATTTACTTTGACCGATCTTCATGACATTGCAACAAGTGCCTTTAGGTGACAACTCTAAAATGTTCATCAGGTGTGAGTGAGAGTGTGAAGGGTTGTTGACTGGTTGGTTGTTGGTTGGTTCCCATTTATTTCCATGTGTGTGCGTGCGTGATGGTGACCAGTTGGGTGTCCACCCCACCTTTTACCCGGTAACTGCTGGAAAAAGAAACCAACTCCTTGCAACCCTGAATGAAAAAGAGCTCGATGGGAGTAGAGAAATAATCTGATTTAGTCCAAATGTTTTGTACCACCATGATACCTGAACTTTAGTACTGAGTGAGGACTATGCACGGTCCACGATCGTATTGTTCATTTCCTGATTATCTTGACTTGGATTAAATATTCCCAGCAAAGGAATATTATTTCTGTAGCTAATAGTTTGGCTGTGTAGCTCCACCTTCAGGTTATTCAGTATGATACTGTGGAAAATACTGTGTAACAGCTTGATTATGTTACTATAAGATTGACATTTTGTAGTATGGAGCAATTGTATTGAAAGATACTGGTTTGTTATATTTAGGTAGTTCTTTTTGCGTTTAATCTATTTTTTATTTAGTTTTTGTGTGCAAGACTGATGACCTAGTGAGCAAAGTGTATGATTGACAGTTAGAGTAATTTGTTTTGACTTGTGTCAAGTAAAAGTACAAATAAATTATCACTCTGGAGTGAAAGATTTGAGTGTGTTTGATACTTCCTCCTTTGAAAAAGACCTCGTTTTTTTCTCTTGTCATTTAAAAATTTCCTCTGACCTTCTGATCTTCTCTCCTCCTCTGCTCCTGCTTCGTCTCCTCAGCCGCCCTGAGCTCTCGTGGATATCGTTCACCCGAGAGTCTGGCGTCTCTCCTCAGAGGAGCTCATCTGTCTTTTCAGACTTTCAGACTCGGATCATCTCCCTGTTGGTCTGCGGAGAACCTCGCCTCTTCTCATGCTGCTGTCTGTAAACTACACATCTGTTTGTTAAGAGGGAAGAAGGCCAAAGGGAGGACAGATCAGTGACTTGATGCCTTTGGTCCCTACTTCTCTTCTTTACTTTCACAGCCACCTCATATGTATGATTGTGTTATGATTTCTTTGACACTTTTTTTTTTACTGTGTTTAAAATTGTGATGAGTTAAGTAATTCATATAAAGCCAAGATTTGAATGAGCCTGTATGAGGAAGGGTTCAAGCTCAAACTGGTTTTGAGGCTATATTTAACTTTGTTGTCTGGAGCGACCTCTGGTGGTGACTCTCTGTACCTGCAACCTTAAGTTTCCCGCGTTAAAAAACCCACAGTGCACCACGGTGAGCAAATTTAAGGCAGGTCGTTGTAACATGTAATAAACCCCACGTTTCTCTATTCATTCAACCTGTATTTAAACAGGTTACTCTCATCATGTCACGAGGACTCATTTACAAGAGAGACCTGCTTTAGACAGACAACATATAAAGTTCAGACAACAATAAATTACAGTAAAAATGCAACAACAGTTCTGCTATAAAACTATAAATCAGGGTGCTATATCAAACAAGGTAGAACACTAAAAACAAGAACATATTTGCTTTCATGTTTCTATTGACCTTATCAAATGTTTAAAATCCCCTAAAGGAATTAAGGTGGACAGTTCAGTTCTTGTTGCAAAGTTGTTGCAAAGTGTTGCAGGAGCAGAGTAGAAGGCCTTTTTGTCAAGTTCAGTCTGCACTGAGGGGACACTGCAGGTAATGATGACCTGAGAGCGCACGCTGTAACTGCACTGACAATGTGACATGTGGGAGGAGATATTGAACTGAATTATATATTATTATTATAGTAATTAATAAACAAGTAAAAAAATAAAAAATAAATAGAGGAAGCTAACGCTAAACCACTTACTGCTCAGACCACAGACTCACTCAATCTGCACCGCAGGTCTTCATCTCCTTCTAGTTGAAGTTGCGTCGACCAATCACGTCTCGTCAATAACAAGCCATCATCGTGCCTAACGGACTCTTAGAGACGCGTCACAACCGACAGGAACACGTTTGTGAAAGAATTAGTGGACTTAAAGTTGGTGAAACCTAATTTATGGTTTCTAAAGTTAGCAAAAACGCTAAACGAAAAATGCGGTCCGCTTTTAGCTGTTAGCAGATTAGTGGAACTGTACCTGCCACTGAAAATGTCTAAAACAATGAATTCTTTGTCAAAAATAACATTTTAGACATCCATAAGGGGCTTTAATCATGTGTCCAAAATTCCATCCATCCATTATCTTTACCCGCTTATTCCATTTTGGGTCACGGGGGTCGCTGGTGCCCATGTCCAGCAATCACTGTGCGAGGGGCGGGGTACACCCTGGACGGGTCGCAAGTCCATCACAGGGACACAAAGAGACAAACAAGACAAACAACCATTCACTCTCCCACTCACACCTAGGGACAATTTAGAGTTACCAATCAGCCTAACATGCATGTTTTTGGTCTGTGGAGGAAACCGGAGTACCCGGAGAAAACCCATGCATGCACGGAGAGAACATGCAAACTCCACCCAGAAGGCCCCTGGACCGGGGTTTGAACCAGGGACCTGCTCGCTGAGAGGCAGCAGCTCTACCAGTTGCACCACCGTGCTGCCCTGTGTCCAAAAGTAACACATCATATTTTTTATGTCATTTTGTGTAAGATAAATTGTTACTTATATGTGCATACTGTATTAGGCTTTTGGCTTCAGGTATCCACAGACACATTCCTCTCATCTAGAATGAACATTAAGAATAACTGGCTGTTTACAATCCAGTTGTTACTAGTGACAAGTTAAGCTTCTTTTCTGGGATATTTGAATATTAACAATATCTGTAAGTTTCTTTATTTACATTTTGATTAAATAAAATGAAACTGACGATTTTAAATAGAAGCGCTGTAGATATTTTACAAATTACTTTCTTCTATTAAAAGTTTTGTTTTATATATCCTCTATTTTTATTCTCAACAGGAAGAATGCGGTCAGGAGCTGTTCGGTCTCTTGACCGCTCTTTAAGTGGCTTCAAACATCTGTTAAGTTCCTGGCAAGATCCAATGCAGACATGTTCCTGTTTTTAGTTTTCTACGTCGCCTCGTAATCTAGCTGTTTTTCGCTACATTTCCTTTTAATTATCATTTTGTTTTCAATGGTTAAAAAAAACAAACACTTCAATTTGTATGCATCATTTGTGATTGTCTATTCTGTCATCACTCTTTGTTAAAATCCAGGTCTCTCTTGTAAATGAGTCCTTGTGGCTCAATGGGATTAACCTGTATAAATAAAGATTGAATGAATGAAAAGTTAGCTTTACTGACATGTGAAAATAATGTAATTTATTTTAGTAAAAATTATGCTTGAAATATCTGCATTGCTGATGGTGGATGAGCCAAAAATCATTCTGGAGATTGCAAACTTTCTTCTAGCTTTGTAGCTTTGCAGTCTGCTCAAGTGTTATTTGAGCAGTTGGCTTGCCATACAGTGGTAATTTTATTTCTTGTGAAACGGTTAATGCAACATTTTGTTCCAGTATAATGTTCACACATTATGCCAAAAATAAAAATAATACATTTTGTCAGACTTACTTTCGTGTATCTCAGATATTCAAAGCGAAAGTGACAAATATCTTTACTCATTAACTCACTTTTTAACACACGGCTAAAGGCGGGATGCGGAGCTCCGCCCACATAGGGGGTTTATTCGTGCACTTCCACGCGCTGCGCTGCAGCTGCGCAAGCGCTGATCGTTAACGTTACGCTATGCTTTGTAGCTTGGCGGCGTTGCTGTTAACATGACGTTGAGATCTGCGGTAATGATATTGAAAACACACGAACTGTTTAGGTGAAAGGAAAACAATGCCACCCTATTTTTTTAACGTAAGAACAGACACCTGAACGCATCTTGCCGGGTTTTAATGAACAGTGATCGTCTTTTTAAGAGAATCGGTGATAAACAAACGGCATGAGGCGTTTATGAAGAAGCAGCTCAGCCACGAGGGCTTTGTTGACCATCACTGTGTGTTCGGCGCGGTCGCTGAGTGAGAGGCTCGTGTTGCCTCTCAGGTGTTTTATGTGTTTTGCGTAGACAGAAGAGGAAACGGGAGGAAGAGCGGGTTGTTCCAGTCGAAGCATGGTGGCGGAGATGGCGAGCTGCGGGGCGGCTTGTCATCTGGAAGACGGGTGAGTTTTCACACATTATTTTTAGTGATGCGTTTGTGCAGAAGTGGTGCATCTTTTTGTCGAGTTTGCGCGTTTTAGAGAAAAAAAAAACGTACGTTATTATTCGGCGCTTCCTCCTTTTTTGTAGAGCATAAAGCTGGAGGTTAAACGAAGCAAAATGTTAATGAAGCCGCTGAGCTGCACGATGTTTTTTTTTTAAATACAAAATAAAATGAGTCGTGTTGTTTTGTGGAGAGTAACCAGAAAACTTCAGACGCTGAAGTTGGTTTCCGATTTGACAGCGATAAAGGGCTATTCCACACATTTTTTTTTCAACCATCTCATCAGCTCTAATTAAATCTACAGTAATTCAACGATTCAAAACCAGACCAATTTATTTTCTACTCAAAGCAGGTTCTTTAAAACACAGTTTGCAATTTGTAAACCATGTATTATGTTTGTCAAAGCTCCTAAAATTAATTTTAGGGCTTCTATAGCATCTGGACCACCGTGGAACACGTCCAGTTTAAAAATCTACAGTATTAACATTGACAATTTGTTCAAAGCCAAACTGAAAACATACTTATTTAAAAGGGCTTTTAATGTTTAACTTTTAGTAGTTTAGTATTTAGTATTTATTTTTTTATTTGATCTCTTTTACCTTCTTTTATTCTCGCTGTGTTTTTTAATTTGCACAGATTTATTGTGTCCTGTTTTTAATCTTGTTTTGTCTTGTGAAGCACCTTGGTCAATGCAAGGCGTTGTTGGAAAGTGCTATAGAAATAAAGTTTATTATTATTATTATTATTATTATTATTATTATTATTATAAATTTGACAGTTTAATTAAACTCATCAAGCCAACAATTTTCAGTCAGGTCATCTGGACACTTTCTTTTTTTTTTTTTTCTGAAATGTTTCACCTTCCATCCAGAAGGCTTCTTCAGTCAAAGAAACACACAACACAAAACTGATTCTTCCCCTAAACAGCTTACTCTAAAGTGGAACAAACCTGTTATGTTGGTGCTAAGATGGTGTCTTTGGCACACCCCCTCCTGTGGAGCCGGCCCTCTTCCTCGTCGACAGTCATGTCAAACTGGTTCAAAAAAAGTCCATGCTCAATAATCCAGGTACACAATCCAACAATTTTCAGTCAGGTCATCTGGACAGTTTCTTTTTTTTCTGAAACGTTTCACCTTCCATCCAGAAGGCTTCATCAGTCAAGGAAACGCACAACACAAAACTGATTCTTCCCCTGTCCAGATGACCTGACTGAAAATTGTTGGATTGTGTACCTGGATTATTGAGCATGGACTTTTTTTGAACCAGTTTGACATGACTGTCGACGAGGAAGAGGGCCGGCACAAGAGGAGGGGGCGTGCCAAAGACACCATCTTAGCCCCAACATAACTTTTGTTTGTTCCACTTTGGAGTAAGCTGTTTGTGGGAAGAATCAATTTTGTGTTGTGTGTTTCTTTGACTGATGAAGCCTTCTGGATGGAAGGTGAAACATTTCAGAAAAAAAGAAAAAGAAACTGTCCAGATGACCTGACTGAAAATTGTTGGCTTGATGAGTTTAATTAAACTAAGTCAAATTTATAATAATAATAATAATAATAATAAACTTTATTTCTATAGCACTTTCCAACAACGCCTTGCATTGACCAAGGTGCTTCACAAGACAAAACAAGATTAAAAACAGGACACAATAAATCTGTGCAAATTAAAAAACACAGCGAGAATAAAAGAAGGTAAAAGAGATCAAATAAAAAAATAAATACTAAACTACTAAAAGTTAAACATTAAAAGCCCTTTTAAATAAGTATGTTTTCAGTTTGGCTTTGAACAGATTATTATTATAGCACATTTAAAACAGCTACAAAGTGTGGCACACAAAACAACAGTTTTACAGCAATAGTTCAAAAGTAAAAAATATTAAAAGCATAAGACTCAATGAAATTGAGCATTATTGTGGAGCATATTAAAAGCCGGTGAGTTGAAATGTGTTTTAGGATGAGTCTTAAAAACAACACGAGCTGATCGTCGGTCTGATCTGAAGGGGCAGCACAGTTTAGGAGCTAAAACTGAAAAAGTCCGGTCACTGGTGTGGACCAGGCCTGGAGGACAACTAAAGGTCAGGGGCATGAAGGAGTATGTGGCTTTCATACTTCTGAACATTTGAAAGTGGATGTAGGGACATAATGAGAAAACTGCATGTGTGTGCAGAAATATTCAGATTTGTCAAATCATGCATATGAACGTTTCTGCTCACCTTTCTTTCATACACCCCAGCAAATTTGGAAATAAGCGCAAGAGACGCCTCTCCTGACACGCCTCTATTTAAATATTCAAATAGATGAAAATATGTCCAGCATGTGTGATTCTTCTCTTTGCACAACCAGAAATAATGTGTAGATGCAGGAAAGAGGATTATGTTTTTAACATCATAAATACTGTCAACACAGAGGCACTCAGGAGCTTGGTAGAACTCAGAGCTTATTTATTAAATAGGTAATGTGATGAGACGAGTCGCTGCGCTTCAATGGGGGGTTTCAGGGGAATTTGATTTATCTGGGCATATATGGATGAGGTCGTCCCAGAAGGCTGGCTCAGCTTGGGGACGGATGAGGAATTTTAATCTCAGCTTCTTCGCCAGCTGTTGAGTGTGAGAAGTAAAAGACAAAATGATCACCTGCATCATGAAGGACCCCACTCACTCAGCACACACACTTTTTGCCCCGCTCCCCTCAGGAAGGAGGTTAAGGAGCATTAAGTGTAGAACCACTAGACTGAGGAACAGCTTCTACCCTGAGGCTGTTAGACTCATGAATCTCTAACCAGAATAATCATTGTGAAAAATCACATCATGCTGCTGTTGATCTGTTTCAATGTTGCTGCTGATCTGTTTCATGTTGCTGCTGATCTGTTTCATGTTGCTGTGTTCATTGGTGCTCATCCGCTCACACAGACTCCGGTTCGTGCTGCTGTTCGACGTATTGTTTTTATGCTACTAGTGCTTAGTGTATTATTTAGTTGTTTTTCTTAGTTCATATCTTATATCTTATTACTGTTTTTATTTTACATTTTATTAAGGTAGATGTTGATGTGGGAATTAAGAGTTGTTGAATTTTCAAAAGAAAGAGTCTTAAGAGGAGCATGTAGATGGAAAAATAAAATGGGACCAACAATAGACCCTTGGGGAACTCCGTGTTCCATTAATCCTCAAACAATCTTTACATTAGAAGCATAAAAATTAAAATCAAAATAATTCAATTAATCATGGATTTTGATTTCTAATGTAATTTTAACGCATCTGCTAATAGTATAGGGCAATGCAGTCAAGGTTTTCAGACACTTTGTGTCTTATAGCAAATCTGATTTTAGGGCTATTCAAAGTTTCTTAGAGGTTATAGTTTTTAAACTAATGCTGATCAATAATGATCTGGGCACTAAAAGTTGAGCAGAATAGCCCTTTACTGACCTGCCTGGTTTGAAGCTGAAATCTGACGCGAACTTCAGCGTCAAGACAAAACATCAAGAGCTTTAATAAAATGCTGTCTGGTAAATAAACATTTAACATAAATTCCTAAATTCCTGGTTACAGTTTGACATTGTTGAAAATTTTTATAAAATGCAATGTACTCAGTTTCTTTTTATGTATAAAAGTATTTTACAATGACCTTCCTATCAGTCACTTCCTCAGTCATTGTTGATCCAGAGGAAGGTAAATTGATACAGATGAGTCATTCTCAGAGATACACACGATTTCGCTCAGGTTGGCATGAACTAAATGGAAAGGTAAAGGCTCAGGTTGATACACTGATGGACGAACTTGAAAAACAACTTCCTGATAATGCCATAAGATGAAAGACAAGTGCGGTGAAATTAATAGAACAAAGGTTAATGTTTTTATAGTTTCTGTGTAACGGACAATTGTTTATCTTCCTCATTGATGCGTCTCATTTATGTCTTGTGTTCATGAGAGGCTGAAGGAAGAGTGAAAATGTTGTGGTCGTTATCTGTGCACGAACTGAGAAAGTCTGAGATCTCCTGTTTGTAGTTCATCAAAACTTCTTTGCTAAAAGACATTATTAGCACCTCACAGAAATGTTGCTGCAGGTCAGATCTGCTCCTGTTTGTCTCATCTTTGTCCATCATATCAATCCAAAACAAAACTACAGCGTGAACAAGGAGCGGCTTTGTTGAAGCAGCTGAAACCGAGTTGTTAAAGCTAAAGGAAACAGAAAACTAGCTAAAAGTTAAATGTAGTTAAAGGCTATCTAAAAGCTAAAAGCAGAAAAAGTCTGGCTAAAGGCAACAAAAGGCTAGCGAAAACTGGCAAAAGGCTAAGAGTAACAAGTTAGCTAAAAGCTAAATGTAGCAAAAGGCTAGCTAAAATTAGTAAAACAATCAAAATTCAATATTCAATTCAAAACTGTGTTCAGGTTTGTCAAACCATGCACACACATGTTTCTGCTCACCTTTCATACAACCCAGCAAACTTGGAACTGAGTGCAAGAGACATCTCTCCTGACACGCTTCCATTTAAATATGCAAATACCGTAATTTCCGGACTTTAAACCACTTCTTTTGTCACACGCTTTGAACCCCGCAGCTTATACAATGCTGCGGCTAATTTATGGATTTAGTTTTTTGACGGGCTAACGAGCTTCCAAAACATTTAGCCTCGTCACACCCCAGCGCTCACACAGCTGCCCAATACCCATCTCTCCTGGGGGGTGGGTCCTCGTGACTCAGTGAGGCTACCTCTATAAATACAGGTAAAAAAAAAAAAACATGATTGATGAAATTACCAAACAGGTCACAGTGGACTAGAGGATGACATTTTTTCGGGAGTACCATTGGTCACGTGATTCCGGCAGGACCGGAGTCAACCTCATTATACTCACGTGACCGGGACGTGACCGGACTGAAAGCTAACGGGAGCAGACAGGAGCGGGAACTGATCAATAACAAAAAATGAAAATTAAACTAAAAAAAAAAAACACGGGCATGGTGGCA